CTATTTAGTCTAAACATTTATGTTTTCATGTTATAACTTATCATTCTAGAACAAAAGAGACATAATTTATATTTATTTCCTAATTTTCTGTGGTTGTTACAAGATTGTTCAAATCTACTGAACCCATACAGAGATTCCTTATGAAAATAAGAGATAAAATATATAGTTATTTTCTTAAGAAACGTTTGATAACTATACAGATATTATAAAGATTTTGCATGTAAAATTTCGAAATTTTTCTGATACATAAAAAGTATTTTTAGTCTTAAAATGAAAATTACTTTGCATGTTGGATAGGCAACATGGGAAAAGAAAAAAAAAAAGGCATGAGAAAAACATTGCTTAACAAACCTTAAGACTTAATAAAGAAAATTGATAATTTGCATATGAAAGCATTGTAGTGTTTACTGATGATCTGCTAAATTTCATTAACATACCATTACTAATTTAAAAGTTATAGCATGAAAACTGTAAGAAGCACAAAATAGTTACGAGGTCGGTCCCAGGGACTGAGCCCATGCTGAAAAGAGTTAAACAGTACTTGTACATATGTATGATATTAAAAATAGTACAACATCAGATAGCTGCACAATGAATAAAAAACTACATGTAGTCTCTTTTTAGGGCTGTACCCTGTTTTTAATAAATCTTATTATGTTGTGTTTCATTTTTTTGTATTAAAGAAAAGTTTGTGTAAATATTAAATCATTTTAAGACCCAAGAGTTTGCATAGTTCTAAAAGTTGTGAAATTAGGTAAAGTTTATCATGGATTTTTTCTTAAGGTTGCTGTGTGCAATCTGGCATCCATTGCCCTTGGTAGATTTGTAAAAGATGGAACATTTGATTTTGAGAAGCTGAAAGAGGTGACAAAGGTGGTAACTCGAAATTTGAATAAAATCATTGATGTTAACTATTACCCAGTTCCCGAGGTAAGTCAACATGTTTAATTATGGCATATTCGTTAGAGTACAGCAATTTTTAATGTAGTTTATACATATACTAACATTATTACAGAAATTTTTCATTATATAAAACCATAATTGATTTTCAGTTTTACTTTGTTTTAGTTCATGAAACACTCAATAACTGTAACTAAAAGTCATATAGGAACTGGGGTGTATTGAAAGCAATGTGAAGTCATGCTGTTGAAATTGTTATAATCATAGTTGGTATAGTGATAGATAGAAAGTCCTATTAATTTATCAGCCTTCCAATAGAATTTCTACTAGAGAAGAATAAATATGTATATTGATCTTTGTCAGGCCAAAAAATCAAACAAAAAACATCGACCAATTGGCATTGGTGTTCAGGGGCTAGCAGATGCCTTCATTCTTATGCGTTATCCATTTGACAGTAAAGAAGCCCAACTACTAAACATTCAGATTTTTGAGACTATTTATTATGGAGCTGTAGAGGCAAGCTGTGAATTATCTGAGAAGTTGGGGCCATATGAAACATACCAAGGGTCACCTGTATCAAAAGGGGTAATATATTTTTTGTGGCTTTTAGTTACTATTTCTCAGAATTTTTTTAAATTGACTATAAGTACCCTGTATGTGTGTAGTACATTGACTTGCAATCACAAGAGAGTTGCTGGCATGTCAGCTTCTTCTTTTTTTGCTTTTTAAATTTATATAGTAGATGGAAACCATAAAGGTTAATCCGAGAATAGGGTTTGATTTTTAAAAATTATATTATATTGAGAAACTTAACGTTTAGAAGTTTTAACAAGCAAATTGTAATAACAGTCTAATAAGATTTTTAAACATTTTAGGTTAACTACTAAAATAAGTTTGATATTTGAAAATAAATGTTTCTAAGAGTTTTTTAAAGTTTAGTTTAAGTTAAACCTGACACAATGACCAGAAAAATTACTCTCAAACCAATTTTCAGGCCAGTTGTGTTCAATTTCCTCCCAAAAAGTATTAGACTGAATATATTCTGTAAATCTAAGGTATCACTACTAAATGGGACCTGTAAATGGTTAAAAACAATAAATTATTGTTGAGATGAGGTATTGTTAAAGCTGTAGTAATGAATAAGTTTGTTTAAAAAAGCATCTATTAACTTGTTAGATTCTTCAGTATGACATGTGGAATGTTACTCCAACTACCTTGTGGGACTGGACTGCTCTAAAAGAAAAGGTGGCCAAGTAAGTTTGGATAATGTGTACATGTATACATATTACACATTTTTATCTTAAAGTATTGTGAATTATGAAATATACCTACAGGGATGGAATTTAACTCATTGTGACCATAGATTCGTAAAAAATCAATTAGGATTCTCTTGTAACTGATGGTTCCATAAACTAAAGAAATATACATGAATTATGCTAGTTATAAACGCACTCTATCACAACACATACATGCATGTAAATAACACTGGAACGTATTAGCTTGGTAGATAAGAAAAACAAAAGGGTATTTGTCTTTATTTTGGCTTATAATTTGTATTTATTCACAGTTAAGACTTTTAAACCCTTAAAGCTTAAGATTCAGGTGGATGGTTGAGCAAATTGTATTTTAATTATCCTATTCGAGACGGGTCACAGGTGAAAGGTCGTGTCATCTTGTTTGTTGACTTGCATTCAAAATTTTATTGAACTGTTATTTCAAAAATTTATATCAATAAGTTTGGTATCAAACTGTAGAATAAAATTCAAATTTTAGTACTATATATTACTCAGTTTCTTAATTTAAAAGAAAAATATTGAAAAACAAATAAACATCGATTTTGTGTGTTGTGTGGTATGTTGAATACAGCACTGGTTCAAATTAGATGTTTGTGAAGTCAAAATACTAAGTCTATAGTTTATATGAAT